TGATGTCATGCATCCCACAAGCTGTTAAATGTTACATTCATACACATTATATGATATTATTGATATTCTTTCATTTTATAAATAAAAATGCAATTACAATTTCCAACCGCTAGATGGCAATTGTAGCCCTACTGAGACATGACTACTGCCAATGCGAGACATGAGAGTTAGTAGAGATCAGTGTTGTGTTTTGAATTTTTTTTACACGAGAGAGCACTAAGTTTACTTGTCGGAGAGCAGCGGGCAAACAACAAACGATAAAGGACATTCCTACTTGGTCTTGTAAGTATCTCTGTTTTCGTTTTGACATGTGTTCATTTATCATGTTTAGGAACCGGGACATTTTAGTGAAGGGAGCAGATTGTAGTTGATAGTGATCCGTGTGTGTATGACGGCCGACGGAGCTTCCCCTGGAACTCACACGATTGGCAACTGGCCATTTATTGTTTTATTGCAGCCGATCTCTGTTCTGGACTTGCACAAACTGCGTTGCAATGCATATCATTTTCCAAATGTCATTTATGTGAAAATATGAAGTCTGTAAACGCCCATTAACAGAGGCCAGAGACGCTGAAGATGGACGCACAGAGAAAAATACTGTAACAGGCAGATCAGTCACTGTTCATGATGCACGAACTTTTGTCAGAAATGTTTAGATGGTATTTTCTTTTCATCTCGTCTCTGTATAATTCACATTAAAGCAGTGTTTCAGCGCAGCTCTGCTTTGTTTACGGTGGTAACCAAGGAAACGCTGTATCAGCGCCTCCTACTGTTAGAGAGTGAATCTGCATCTCATTCAGAGCTTCTGCTGTTTGTTTCGTTCAGGCATGTAGTATAATTTCAAAAAGCTAGTCAGAACATTCTGTTTTTGCTTCAAATTGGGTTATTATTAAATCAAATTATGTATATGAAATTATATAACTAAATGATATGAAATGATATAAATGATATGTATATGAATTATATAACTAAAATTAAACAACTGTAACGACAGATTTAGGTTAAATAAAGATGTCAGTCTTTATTATTCTTCTTTTTAGGAAACAAATCAAAGAAAAATTAAACAAATTCTACTGTTCCTAATATTCTGTATGCTGCTCAAAAACAAAATATATTGTGTTCAGCGGAA